AAAAAAAAAAAAAAAAAAAAAAAGCCAAAAGCTGAAGGCGGGAGGTCAATACAAAGAAAAGCCCCACTCCTGTGAAGTCTCAGAAGTTTCCACATTTCAGCAAGAAACCGTGGCAGTGTTCCTCTTCTCTGTTTATGGATACTGTAAACATAAACCAGGAAGGGGACAGTACCCATCAAAGTTAATCAGCACCGTCCAGAGTGTCATGGGAACATGCAAACCCTTCACCGCTGACACTGCAGCCCCAGACAAATCAACTCAGCATGTATTTTGCCCCCGTAACAGCTGCTGGCTTGGGACCGAGCTTGCCAAGCTGGTCATGGTAAGAGTCCTCGTTGTCCAAAGAGCGTTGGAACTGGTACAGAAGAAGACAAGGGCGCGGAGAGGAGCAGCAAAGGCACGGCACTGTGCTTACGCGTGGGACCCAGGATCACCCACCTACTCAGAGGCTAAACGGGCTTTTAGAGAAAAGTTGTCCATTGAAAAACCTCAGCGCGTTAAAAGACGGGGTCTGTAGTTTTGCCTGGAGAAGATCCAACAGCTCTGTACCCTACTACTAACGCAAGGCACAGCCTCGGAGAGCGCAGACGCGACGGCTTCCAGGGGCTCGGGGTCGGTCCCCCTGCTCCAAGGCAGGTTCGACTCGCTTAAACCATTCCCCAGAGGCGTTTATTAACCCATTCTTGTGAATCCCCAGTGCGACAGGAGGCCTCCCTGGACAATCTACTTCAGCTCTGCATTACAGGTAAAAGCGTTCTTCTAATGGCCAATTTAAATTTCCCTTGCCTCAGAGCTTGCACGCATCGTTTCTTGTCCCAATGAAGATGGAGAACAGTGCAGCGCTTTCCCCCTCTCAGTATGCTTTAAGTGACGCTAGTATGCTTTCTTCAAAGAAAAATAGGAAAAAAGGCAATCTCCTGATGTATTTCTGCTACACCAAGGCATCGAGTCACCTGGTGTGATTTAAAGAGAAGTTGAGAAAGTTACAAAATGTACGTGGAAGCTAAGGAAGGGCATACGAAAGGAGCTGGCATGTTCTTAAGGACTTACCTGAGAGCTTGCAACTTCCATAAGGAGATTAATAAAATCCATGTTAGACCACAGGCAACCGGGAACTCGGGCAAGGGGTAGCGTGCCACTTAGGACAAGGTGCAAACTTGGGCTTTGCGAGGCGCATCCTCTGTAGATCCCAAGGTTCCCACCCGGATGCAGTTTGCTTTACGCTGAGCGTTGTGTGCACGCACAGTAAGAAGAAGCCTTTGCCTTCAGATGTTATTATCTATCGACTGCTTTTGATCTTGCTCCCTTTCACGCTGTCTGAACCGGCCAGGTGGTTTAGCAGGAAACTAAAGAGCTGTGCCGCAAGGTGCATGCGAGTCACAGCTGTACCTCCCCAGCCCTACCAAAGCTTGAAACTGTGATAGGCTTCGTAGGAGGTAGAAAGCTTCTGAGGTAGAAGAGTATAGGATGGGGTTTTTTTGCCCACAAGACTGAAATCTCTTATTGGTTACAGATACAAGTCAACAGCTTGTTCAGCCTGGAGAAGAGAAGGCTGAGAGGGGACCTCATCAACACCTACAAATATCTCAAGGGTGGGGGTCATGAGGATGGAGCCAGACTCTTTGCAGTGGTGCCCAGTGCCAGGACAAGGGGCAATGGGCACAAACGGAAGCAGAAGAGGTTCCAGTTGAACGGGAGGAAGAACTTCTTGACTTTGAGGGTGCCCGAGCCCTGGCCCAGGCTGCCCAGGGGGGCTGTGGAGTCTCCTTCTCTGGAGATATTCAAAGCCCGCCTGGACGCTGTCCTGTGCCCCCTGCTCTGGGTGAGCCTGCTTGGGCAGGGGGGTGGGACTGGGTGAGCTCCAGAGGGCCCTTCCAACCCCGGCCATGCTGGGATTCTGTGATCCTGTGTGAAATATCAGGTATTTATACCCAAGGAGGCAGGGCAGAAAGTGATTCACACCCTCAACAGAAGGACAAAAGAACAGAGGAAGGCGATCCTGAAGAAGCAAATTACAATTATTACCTGCAAGCAAAAAGCAATTGTAAAGACCTTCTGTTGGTAAAATGTTAAAAGAACTAACAGAAATTTATGTTTGCTTATCCTTCTCCTTCTAAGAGAGAAAAAAAAAGTTGAGCAAAGCAGCCTGGGGCGTTAGGAAGAGGAAGGAGGTACGATTTGTGACAAGCCTCCACCAATGTTCCTGTTGAGTGCAGGCACTGAGCTGGAGAAAAATAAACCCTCTGATAAAGGAAGAAATTCTGCAAGGACAGCACTGGCTCCCATAGCTGAGACAGGAACGAAAATGGCCCACGTGTACATGTACACACACACACACGCCTGCCGGTACTATAGGCTTTTATCCACCCTTAACAAATAGGGCCTGTGCTGTTCCCTAAGAAAAGGTTACTTCCCCAGAACTGGCAGGAAACAGCACACAGTAAAGCTTATCTGCGTGGGTTAGTTAATAGGCTGGGTCTGGGAAAAAACACCTCCCTCAGTTTGAAAGGATTTTAAAGCGGGCGTGAGGAAAACAAGCAAAAACACCAGAAAATTTGCTTTATCTTCCCTTTTTTATCTTCTGGTTTAGATGCCAGCTGACCGGCACGCTAGTGTCAGCTGAGAGCCCCGCCATCCCAGTTCATCATGTGGTTTCTGCAGCCTTGCCTGACCCAGGCAAGGTCCCTACGCGACCCCGCGGACTCGATCGAGCTCTTCCATACGAGAAGCAGGAGGATGAGAAATACGGTGGGGCAGTCTGTGAAAGAATGAACACGACTGGGGGTTGGTTTGTACATGCAGACACTTCTCTACCAGCAAATGGCCACGACCAGCCAGCAGTTACAGAAAAGGCTTTTGAGAGGCACAGCACCACAATTTGCAATCCCTGTAGACTTGGCAGCTCTATAATCTCAAAGAGGGAGGCTTCACAGGGGCTGAATTAAGCGGAAAAGAGCTTGGGTGGTTTATGCTGGGTTCCAGTAGCATGAAATCCAGCGTAACTGCAGCAAGGTAAACACGAAAGCTCACAAATAAAATGCACAAAAGCACTCAGCCCTTTGCGAAGCTGAAAAATATCATCCCAGCATGCAAGCTTGTAAAGCATTTCTGCCAGCTCTGAAAAGCTTGGGTGAGGACTCCCGGGCTTTGGCCCTAATTCCCAGGGCCTGCTCTAACCGCACACCACCTCGGAAAAGCAAAAGGAAACGTACTCACCCTTTGCAAGCTGCACGAAGCCGAGGATGATGATCAGGGCCAGCGCCAGCAGTTTTGCCGCAGCAAAGGCATCCTGGACGCGGGTAGCAGCTTTCACGCTGTAACAGTTGACTGCTGTGAGGAGCACTAAGGGGAAGGGACAAGAAGAGACCCGTCAGTTTGCAGTGAAGCGCTTAAAACGCAAACCAAATTACGACAAATTGGCATTAAAACTTAAGCAAAGAGTCTCTTCCGAAACCAGAAACTTTTCAAAAGCAAGGCTCTGCAGCCACGCACGTCTCCATTCTGTCTTTTCCTTTTGGCCATAGGGGGGTTGAACATCACATCCACCCCTTGGGACGAGGAACTGTCCCGCTGCACTGGGAAAGACCCTTCTGAGGGCCGGGAAACAGAAGTGGTTACTGCGACCGTTAGCATCAAAGCGCTTGGCCGCAATCCCTCTTAAGTCGATCCAATTTAATGCTGCTGCTGTGTGAAAACACCATAGAAATGTCAGGACAAACTTCCAGAGCTGACCTATAGTTTATTTGTAGAACAAGAGCACCTAAAAGGCTATCGAGGCCCCACCGTGCTGCCCACTGCTTAGGCACAAAGGGAGGGACGTCCCTGTCCTCGCCCATCCCCTGTCCTCGCCCATCCCCTGCCCTCGCCCACCCGGTGAGCTAGGGGACAAGCAACGCCTGCAGGTCAGCAGCACAGATGGGAAGTGTTGCCAGATCTCAGGAAACCCTCACCCTCCGTTTGCCCGGCTGGGCAGCGGTGCCAGGGACGGCCGTGCAGGCTTTCAGAGATGCTCTCCAGGGCCAACGCCGCGGCGATGGAAGAGCAGGGCTGCGCAGAGCTGGCCAGCCCAACAGCTCCATTTTGCTGTGGCTGCCTTGCACTTGATTGCATCGCCTTCCCCGTGCACCATTTTGCTTGCCCACAAGCTCCCACCACCTACAAGTTGCTCTGTGGCTAATGCAACTCATGAGGCCTCATTCCCTACTCTTTTTTTGCCCTGTTCCCCCATCACCCTCCTCTGTATCACCCGCTCCTGCTGCTCTTTGGCACTGCCAGGCGAGGGACAGCACGAACCAGGGCATGCCTAAAGCCACCAAGCTGCTGAGCTTCACCCGCTTCGAAGAAAATAATGGCTAAAACCTTCACTGCTCTTCCAAATCACTTATTATTTTTGTGCCCTGCTCACTCCCCAGAGCCTGTTGCTTGTTATAGAGACGGGCAAATGGCACACAGAGAAAGCCACCCCTCGCTGCCTCCACCCCAGCTTGGCAGCAGCCCCCGGAGCCAACCGGTCACCGAGCAGCTCGGGGAAGAGCAAATTTCAATCTTTCTTCTTGAGCTGGAGGCTTTTCCCTGCGGGACCCTTCCCAGGCTGGCCCCTGCCCTGGCGGCAAAGGCTCTTTCCCACGTCCTGCAGCTCCCCGTCACAGAACCCCGCTGCCTCGACCAGAGCTGAACAGCACCTCCCCAAAATACTCCGCTCGGATGTGGATCGCCCTCCCCTGAGGTTTCAGGCTATATCTGCACCCACAGCACCCAGCAGGCACCAGCACACCCTGCATCCCCTGCCTCTCCCCCGGCACGAGGTGGCTGCGCGGGATGGGCAGTGCCCGCCTTTGCCCTCCGGCTTGTGGCAGGCCCATGCACCGGAGCCGCTCACACCTCACGCCCCCGGGGCGAGGGCACTGTTCCCCGCAGCCGGGGATACCGCACGATAAACAACTGCAAACTGAGAAGTAAAAGCGTGGGAGGAGGAAGGAGCATTTGGGCATTTGAAAGGGTCTTCTTGGCTCGCTGCCACCCTGCATCCTGCCTCGCCTGCCAGAAAGCCAGCGGCATTTTGGTAAGAGTTCAGGGAAACGCAGGCAGAGCCCACGCCGGGGCTGGGAATAGCCTTCCTGGAACACACGGGCAGGGACGTACCCATGGGCTGGCTTCAGAGAGCTCAGTGTCTTTGGGGACCGCAGTATCTGGGGCTGATGGCAACGATCCGACTTTGCATTCCCGCTTGAGCGAGAGCTGAGAAATACAGGACTTCCCGGTGACTCAGAGCACGGGCGGGCAAGAAGGGATGCGGTTGCATCATTCCTTCAGAGGGGGCTAAGAGCCTGCTACGGCCACAGCACGGCAGCGATAGGCATCGGGCTGAGAGGATTTAATTGCCCATGCACTGCTCAGCCAAAGGCTGCTTATAGGGGATCTTCAGGCAGGGAAGAGCAAAGCCAGTCCCAGGCACGTCCCAGCACATGATGCCCGCTGTCAGGATCATTTGCTCCCACCACCAAACCCCTAGGATCTGGTGTCATCTCAATACAACAGCACTTAAATGTTTGGAGAAATTAAAGAGTTGTAAGTCATAGAATCATATGAATCATAGAATCATGGAATGTTTTGGGTGGGAAGGGACCCCCAGAGGTCACCCAGCCCAACCCCCCTGCAGGAGCAGGGACACCTTGAACCACATCAGGTTGCTCACAGCCCTGTCCAACCTGGCCTGGAATGTTCCCAGGGATGGGGCCTCCACCCCCTCTCTGGGCAACCTGTTCCAGTGTTTCACCACCCTCATTGTAAAGAATTTCTTCCTTATATCTAGCCTAAACCTACCCTGGTTTAGTTTAAAACCATTATCCCTTGTCCTGTCTAGTCCTTGCAAAGCAAAGCACGAGATCCAATATATCCTGCATGAACGAAAGCCAGAAGTAAATACGGAATTGCAGATTGACTTTTTTCTGTATCGCGTCTTTCAATCCCCTTTGGCACTTTGGGGGTGCTCGGCCATTTGGAGTGGGTGAGACTGAAAGGACCCAGCGCTGTCTTCGTTGGGAAGGACACCCCGGTGCCGGTGGGCCCTCGCATGGGTCACAGGACAGCACGAGCTGGGCTTTGGCTGACCCTGCTTCGGCACGCAGCCAAAAGCGAGCGGCGAGGAACGGCACTGGCGAACCCCCCGCACCACCTCCTCCAAATTTAACCCCCCTGCCCTTCCACCCTGCGCTGTTCAGGGGAGATAGGGTGCATCTAATTAGAAAGACACGGCGTGCCCAGGCTTGGAGGCTTTTTGGCATCAAGCAGCAGGCCAGCTCTATCAGCGGTTTGCAGGGTCACAGCTCTGTCGCCCTTGCGATATATCTGCTCCAGCCAGCACACTAAAAGAGACACTGTCCAGGTATAAAGGGGAGGAGAAAATAAAGGTTAGCGAGGACAGCTTACGGCACGGCTGTGCTACACGGCATGCTGAGGGGGAGACAAGAAAACGCAGCGAAATATCAGTAACACCCATCACAACTCATCTGCTAAAAACACCTCTGGTGAATCCTCATGGGGAGGACACAGGGAGGGAACCGAGGATCCAGGATTCACTTTCAACCAGCAACTATGCTAAAAATAAAACTCTCCCTGTTTACAGAGGGATATTTAAAGGATGAGCTAACGCATCTAAAAGCACACTTTTCCCGTTAGCAAAGACGGCCCTTAGAGGTGCGACGGTGACATTCCCTTCCCCATTTAGGAATTCTCTTTCTTTACCAATAGCTGCTTCGGCCTCCACCTGAAATACTGACTTGGACCTACTCGGGGCCGTTTTTCACGTTCTGGTTCTGTGCGGAGTCCGCTGGACGGACCCCGGGGTGGCGGTGGCGTACATAAAAGGCAAAAGCTTTCTACACAGTCCAAAACTGAGAGGCAACAGAAGCGCCTGTATCCAGCGCTCAGGAATGGATCAGTGCCAGATAAATAGGGAACGCTTCGGGCCGGAGACTCTGAGCGGGGCTGAGAGCGTCCTCCACGCCAGCCGTGAGTCAGAGCCCTTCGAGTCGCAATCTCTCTGCTTTGCTTTTCCCACTGTGTATTAATATTTGTCTTTCCTAAAGGAGTGTGCTGGAGTTACGATACTTGATTGCTTTCAACACAGGAAGGGCTAAAAAAAAAAAAACCACCAAAAAACCAACCACCAAACCCCCCCGTCTCACCCACCAGAAAGAATCCTACGGACACCCAGACGAAAAGACAGACTGAGTGCTTTTTCAGTAAAACTCCAGGATGAATTCCAGTGGCTGCCCAGCTTCTCAGGAGACCAGAGGGCGAGGGTTTCTTAAAGCAGAAAGTTTTATCCCTTTGATCCGAGATGCTACCCACGAAGCAGGGGCTGCAGGACTCCTCCTGGCACCGCTCCATTCACCTCGGATGAACTGCTCCACATGGCAGAACCAGGGGAAGCGGCGCAGCCACGGCTTTACGATAAATCCAGGCAATGATACAACGCAAGGGAAGATCCCTCGGCGCTGCCCTGGTTTCTGCAGCACCCTTCCTAAGGCAAGGCAGCCAGGCAGCCCTTCAGCGGGACCCATCGGGGCCGTTCTCGGGAAGCAGGCTCGGAATAAGGGTTTCAGCATGACCTGACGTGACCCGGTCTGTCCGACCCAGTGGCCCCTCTCCAAAGGCTTTAGATAATTGGGATAATAGGCGCTAGGAAGCTGCAGTGACTGCAGATGGAAGAGGGGGTACTTTTATTTATGTACTGATTAGGTCTGGCAGAAGTAGGGAAGATAGCTGCCGAGAGAACACGCTCGCGAGGTGCTGCTCACCCCTTCGTCCCTTCTGGTGACCGCTCTAGCCTAGCTGAGGGCGAGCTTCATTTCAAGATACTCCAGCCACTCCAAAGAGGGGAATCTAGAGGCTTTCAAAGAGATGTTTGGCTTTGTAAAGACAACAGCGGGTCCGGCTTCAAGTATTTACCTTGTCCTAGTAAATGCTGGCTTCAGGCACGTCACTTAACCTGCTCTGCTGGCACCCACCTGCAGAGTCAGGCCACTTCCCTGTTACTGATAGGAGCCGGGGATAAACTGGCTAATCCAGCAAAGGACCCAGAACCTTGCTCCCACCGCGAGTCACATTTTATGGGCATATTCCTTTGAACTCGAGTTCCAAGACCCCTCCCAAACGTGATCTCTAGATAACAACAGGAATAAATCCCTACCAAGCAGACACAGAAAGGGATCACGACAATCCCCGCACCGAACAAGCCCACGACGAACACGGATCACGACAATCCCCACACCAAACAAGCCCACGACGAACACGGATCACAACAATCCCCGCACAGAACAAGCCCACGATGAACACGG